AAATATTTCCACATTTGTCTGACAAACCCACCACCCAATTACTCTTTTGATGGAGGTCATGAGATTTTTCCAAAAATTGGACTCTTTTGAGATTAGGACAACACTATAAACTTTAATTTGTATCTGAGTTAGACACTTTATACATATAAGAATAATAACATGTAAAGTGTAACTGTCACAGGAGAAGATATTTCTCCAAAGAAAGATATGAGGACTTAAGAGAAGGAGAAACTTGACTGAGGACCAGAGGGTTCTTGGCACATATGCCAGAAAAGAATTTCAGCACACACCAGTCCTAGTCATAGATGGAGGTTTATTTAGGGAAATAGATACATGTTCAAGGAAGAATAAGAAGTGCCATTGCAGTACAGCAAGGAATAAGCATTCAAGGGAAAGTGCAGGCCATCTTCCAAGAGATCCCCTTGATGTGGGGTGTTGATACTCATAGAGGACAGTTGCTAGGGACTGGAGTAGAGGTGGAGCCAGGGTGGAGCTGCATTCTCCTGGTGCTTGCACTATCCTCATGTTACCAGGGCAAGGGGCAAGGGCTCGATGGTTCTTGGGTGCTTTCTGCACTAATGGTTTGGAGTCCTACTCAGGTTTTAAGATGGAGCAGGGTAGACACATTTGATCTCTGCACAACTGGAAGAGTTGTCAATTCTAGGAATGAGAGGGTGGTGATGCAGTTCTATGTACATGATGTTCAAGATAATGACTCCCAAGCCAGCCTCCTGGAGAATGACAGACTGTCAATACTGCCCCTATCCATTCCACCTGAGGCCTAGATATGTGATCAAGACCATCTAGGCTACTCAGGCCAGGGCAGGCCAGCTCAAACCAAGCAATCCACCCTTCGACCTGCACAGTTGAACTACGAAATGTTCCTTGTCTGTAGCCTTCGAGTTTGTTGTGTTAGGGGGCAAATACCAACTTTTATGAATATAAGTATACATATGCAGGTGATTATGTAAATCATGGACATCTCATGAAAACTATCTGCAGACTTAATACAGAATTTCAACATATATAAGTAAGGGTGATATTTACTTATGAGGAAAAAACAGAACATTCTACAAAAGAACAAATCTACTACTATGCACACATGCATGCATGCAATTCAAAAATTCTCAGTATAAAACAATTTGGTTTTCTCTTTGGTTTAAGACCTGAATCAGAGGAATATCAAAGGTTGGCATATTTGTACTGCAATCAGTTCTCAATTATTTGAATTTGTTATCTCCAGTTTGATCTAAAATTCAGCTATGTTCCTCCCACAGGCAATCTCTCCTCCCCTGCTCTGCACTCTACACAGTGCTTTGTGTTATGGAAGCTTGGATCTACCCAGCACCTATAATGTGTTTCCATGTGCATACTATACAAGATGAAAAAATATTTAAGTATTGACCCCCAAAATATATATCCTTGCAAATAAACAGTGAAGAATCATTAATACTCAGGAAACAATGCTATCAATAAAATGAATTGAGTGGGTTTCAATGATAGAAATAGCAATGACTTAAAGTCAAATGATAAATATATTTAAAGACCTAAAGGGCTGGGAAAGTGGCTCAAGCGGCAGTGCGCTCGGCTGGCATGCGTGCGGCCCGGGTTCGATCCTCAACACCACATACAAACAAAGATGTTGTGTCTGCCGAAAACTAAATAAATAAATATTTTTTAAAAAAAAAGAAAAAGACCTAAAGAAAACCATATTGAATGGTTTAAAGGAAAATAAGAGAATAATGGCTTGATAGAAAATCTTAGTAAGACAGAAAATGTAATAAAGAAACCAATAGAAATGTTAGTGCTGAAATAACACAGCTGAAATAGCAGAGTCTACAAAAGTAAATGAGTTTAGCAATACGATAGGGTGCAAGTTTAACACAGATGAAACCATGAACATAGGAGCATTTACAATGGCTCTATAAATGATACCTTCAGGTAAACTTCTAACAACCTACAGGATATGCATGCTATAAGCTAAAAAGCTTTTATTTATTTATTTATTTAAGAGCAAGAATTAATCAAATGGCAAGACAGCATTGTTGGGAGCTGCTCTGGACAGAGCTATGTACACACCTTTAAGTCCTGAGTAAAGGAGTCCTGAACAGTTATTGCACTCTGAAATACATGGGGCTTAACCCTCTTGGATAATGAGGCTGGCTCCAGGAGTAGGCTTCACCTGGTGGGGTTGAGCTACACTCACCTGTTCCTTAGAAATCCTACCCCTTTGCCCTTTTAGGGAAAGAATATTCCATGGGTCCTCCCCTTGTGTGTCCCCTATGTAAGAATAAAGAATTCCAGTGGTTCTGTCCCTTTCCACTGATCCCTAAGGTCAGGAGCCATCCCTGGATTTTGAAAAGGTACTTCTGTGTATTTGCATGTTTTCTTCGACGTTTTTTTAGTTATTGGAGTAGTCAGGTTTTGTGACCCCAGCATAGGTCGCCAGCTTGGATAGATGGCAGTATAGCATGTTCATAGTCAGAAGACTCAATGTAATAAAGATGCCACATCAACCCACTTTCATTTAATACATTGAACGCAATTTCAGTAAAACAAAAAAATTAGATATACACAAGCATATTTTAAAGTTTATCTGGAGGGCTCAGTGCCACTGGCTGCCAAGGCTTCAGGGGCCAGTGCAAGCGCCCTGCAGCACCTGGTGGAGCAGCTCAAGCTGGAGGCCACCTGGAGGACCAGGGTCTCTCAGGCTGCTGCAGAGCTGTAGCAGTACCGCCTGCAGAATACCTGCAAGGATGCTCTGCTGGCCAGTGTTCCAGCCAAAAGCAGCCCCTTCAGAGAGCCCAGATCCTGCGCTTTTTCTTTAGGCAAATGACTGGGGTATTTCAGACCTTCCTGTGTCCTGCTCTTACAGACAAAATTCTACAGTAATTAATGATTTTCTACAAATATGGAAACTGAGTGAAGAAATAGAATTGCTTCAAATAATAATTGCCTGGTTCTCCTGGTGAAGTGCTTTGTACTAAGATAAACAATGTTACCACCAAATATACCAACATACACTGCTATAATGAGTGAGTTGTTGGTGTTGCTATACTTAGGATATCATGTATGTTTTATTTACTGGATGTTTACATTTTAGGAAGGAAAACACTTGTTAAAAACAAATGGAATATTTGTAATTCGTTGTTCCTAAGATTTTTATACTATAATAAAATTTGTTCTATCGTAAATCTGCAATTACTAAATGAAGACAAGAAAGCATAAAATTGGGAGAAGGAATAGACTTTACTAATCAAATGATGCCTTGATTTTTCTAAATTAGAGTATTGTTTTATTTTGAGCTCTAAACACAGATGTTTCATAGTAAACTTGTTTAGAAAGATTTATGTTATGATGTATATTAGGTTGCCCAATCTGTGTATGAAACAGATTTGATCTCTTTTTAAGTTTCTTTATAGTTGTGATTGCACTTTTTAAAAGATACATTTAAACATTTAAAAAATGTTTAAAATATGGCGTACATATAGAACATTACAAATGGTCAAAAATGAAGAAATGTGAAATAGTTAAGACCTAAAAGAATTCTTCATGTCATGTGTTTACTTTCATAGTGTGTCTTTAATTTGGGATACTTTTAGAAGGATACTTTGTGTTTGTAATAGTCTTTGAAGATCTTGGATATAAATTCTGCTTAATTATTACGAATGTAATGCTCTCCTCTAGTGTGATGTATGTAAGAAATAATAAAAAATAATTAATTTAAAAAGAAGAATTAGAAAAAAATAAAATAAATAAATTCCGCTTAATTAAAAAGTATGGAAAGACAAAGAAACTGGAATAAATAAAACTATTTTCAAAGAAATTTAGAGCCAGAAGAATATGATTCCTTGGTTTTATGACTATCACTGCTATAGTGTTATTGGTGAAACAACAAATTCATCAATGGAAGAGTGAAGAAGTAGTCAAAATATAACTGCTTTTTACAAATGTGCAAGGTCAATTTAATGAGAAAAAAACAGTAATTTCAAAATAATGTTGGACCAACTGTATAATCATAGGCAAAGAAAATGAAACCTAACCCTCAACTCCTATCCAAAAACTAACTCCAAATGGATCATAGTTTTAAAATATTAAAAGCAAAACTACATTTGTAAAGTACAGGAGAAAATCATGATACAGCTAGGTAATGAATTCTTGGATATGACATCAAAATTATAACTCATAAAAGAAAAAAATGTAATTTGAATTTAATATTTTTTATATTCCTGGGGGGGGGGAATGATATACCACATCTGGGGAAAATATTTGTAAGTGATATGTCCAAGAAAATTGTACCTAGCATATAAACCTCTTTAAAAACATCTCTAAATGTCATACTAGGGAAACAAACATCCTAATTAAAAAATGGACAAATGATTTGAGTAAACACTTCATCAAAGATACTTGGAAGGCAAACAAGCACATGAAAAAATAATATCAAAAACCCATTACAGGAGCTGGGTACAGTGGCCCACACCTGTACTCCCAATGACCTGGTAAGGCTAAGGCAAGAGGATCTCAAGTTCAAAACCAGACTAGGCAATACCATGTCTCAAAAAAAAAAAAAGAAAGAAAGAAAGAAAGAAAAGGACAAGGGATATAGCTTGGTGGTAGGACACTTGCCTAGAATGTGCAGGACTCGGGGTTCAATCCCCAGCACAAGCAAAACACAAAAGCAAACAACAACAAAAATTAGAAAAATATAAATGAAGGTCGCATACATAATACATAATACAATACATAATACAATGACTAAATAACACATGGTAGGGGCAAGTGCAGGAACGTGGAACTATCAAATTTCTCATATATTCCTGTTGGAAAATTGAACAGGCACTGTGGAAAACAGTTGAGCAACATAAAATTGATTCTCAACATTGGACCCAAAATTCAAACTCTTCATAATCATCTTAGAGAAATGAAATTTGTGCTTACACAAATGCTTGGTACAAGAATGTTTGCAGCATCTTTATTTATAATAGCAAAAAAATCTGACAAAAACCCTAATGTCCATCAGTGGGCAAATAGAAGAGTAAACTGTTGTATATCTATATGAAATATATTACCCACCAGCAAAAAGAACAACCAGGATGGGACTGAGGATAATTTGCTTAAGGTTAAATACTCAAATCTCCAAAGGTACATGATGTGTGCTTCCATTTGCATAACATTGTACAAATGAAAAAATTACATATATTAACAAATCCGATTGCCAGGGGTGAGGTGGGGAGCCAAGCAGGATGGCATCCCTATAAAGCCAACTACTCAGGACACCAAATTGGCTAGATTACAAATATTGAGGCCCAACCTGGGCAACTTAGCAAAACCATGTCCCAAAATCAAATAAAAAGGGTTGAAATAGCTTAGTGGTATTGCACCTGACTAGTATGTGTGAGGCCCTGGGTTTGGTCCTCAATACCTTCACCCCACCCCACCCCAAAATTTAAAAAGTTGGGTGTTGAAAGCCACAGCCGAAGGGGCCCAGCAAACTTCCAGCTGCCAGCAAACTTCTAGCTGCCAACTGATTGGCTCCTCTGCAGTGATGCTTATTG